AATTTGAATTTTTATTGGTCGAAATTTTTGTAAATTAAATTTGACCTCCTCAAAGATAAAATTCCGGCTCCAGCCTGAACTTGATGCAGAACTAACCTGGTGACTATCCTTATCTCTGAAACCCTAACCATTCCATTGTTACCTAACCCTTTAAAAACTCCATATTTGCACAAAGTGCCAAATATTTTTCATGCCATACATCATTTAAATAAATTAATCTTGTGGATAAGGTTGTTTTACATGATAATCTGTCTACTTTACTTCTAAATCATTATTGCCTAATCCTTAGCTGTTCACATGAAAAACTTTGATTGACTTTTAGGAGTGGTTTAGTGACCAATTTTGTTCCTTTTATACACAATGGATTTTAGATTCGATATTTTCTACACCCTCTAAGGGTCAATTACTCTTGTTCTTCAAGAACATATCTTTAAATTAACGCAAGTTATGGTAACTAACCTCATAACTTGAGAGAATAGTTTGTATAAATTTGACTGCCGTATAGAAAAAAAAACAAAAAAAATAAAAAAAAAATAGAAGGGAAACTCTGATTGCTCAAGCATGTGATCAGGATGACATAAGCTTTTGAATTTAGTGGTGAGACCTCAGAATCTCAAGGCCATGAAAATGGCTATTACCTGCTTGTGTCTTTGTCACATTGGCTATGTAAGTTTATAAGACACTAGTAATTGCTAGAATTATGCCACATTAAATAACTAGCAAAATCCTCCAACTCATTGTTGATTTTAATCAGAAGTCCCAACTTGTACGAAATTGTTTCAACAGACTTTTTTTTTTTTTTTTTCAATGGGCGTTCGAGTCAACTTGTACATATTTCAACTAGTCCCCTCCCTGGTCTGGTCAAAGACAGACCATCTCCACCGAAACTAAGAGATTCACGAGAGATAAATCTTTCATGGCCTAATCCCAAGAAGTTGCCAAAATTTAAAATCAAAAAGTCTGAATTTACAGCTCATCTCTATAACCACTTGAGCTATCAATACTGTATTTGTTTCACCTTTATCTTATTTTTTTGAGCTCCCAGATTCGAGTCCTTTTACTAAGGATGCAACTTGGGCGGCCAACCCAAATTCAATCCGAGCCCAACCCGAAAAAAAATAAATCTTGGGTTAGAATTTTTAATACTTGGGTTGGATCTAGGCAAAAAACCTCCAACCCGAATTGAATTCGGGCAAGTTTTGGATTGAGGCCTCGAGTTGTAGGGTTTAACCCAAATATACATAAATATATAAATATATTTAACTATGGTTCGTATTTATCTTCATTCTTTAAAGTCCAGACTTTCACTTCACTTCAAGTCTTCACCCCTGCGTCTTCATCACTTTCAAATCTCTCTCTCACTCGTCACTTGTCACTCGTCTCTCATTTGGTCCCAGACTCTCTCTCTCCCTCATCTGAGTCTATATCAGACTCTCAACCTTCCTCTTGCACTTGTCACCCCTCCCTCTTTTATCAACCCAAATTAAGTAACTTGAACTCAACCCGATTTTTAACTTGAAATTAGTCTGAATTAAGTAATCTGAATTCAACCCGAGCCCGCCCGAATTAAACTTGGGCAGTACTTGGGTTTAGTACCTTGGATTGAGGGAGGGTTAGGGTTGAAGATTATATACCTAGAGTTGGATTAGGATTGACCTCTTAACCCATCCAACTTGCCGAAGTTGCACCCCTACCTTTTATCCTATTAGTAGTCAACATAGTGCGTATCTCAATTTGGATTCACCATTCAATCTTTCCTTTCAGTGACTTTGAAACGCTTGTCTAATGTAATAATTCACATTAATTTAGTAACCAAAATTTGATAAGAGATTTGGAAAAGAGTAACTTTACTTTAATAATTGGATTTTTAGTTCAATGGTACTTCTTCCCATGTGAATAATTTGTCTTTTTGAGGTCAACAGTTCAAATTTTATAGGCGACAAAACAGTGGTTGGTAAGTAAAACGAACCTCAATTGCTTTGACGAATTATATCTAAGTCTCTAATATGGATTCGAATTTCCACCAAATTACAAATCCTGATTTAACTGGTGTATAGGTTGAAAGACCATTTCATGCACCTTAGTTTTGTCCTCAGTTTATTCGAACTCACGAACCTGAGTAACATAAACACCCATCTAATCATCGGGAACAAACCAAGAATTTTCGTCGTTACCAAAAAAAACAAACTCTACTCTAACGATCATCCTATCTTTTTTGTCCAGTAAAAAAGAAAATATATATATTTTTTTTTGGGGGGGGGGGGGGGGGGGGGATTGTGAACTTGCTAATTATTCTCATAACCTTTGCTTTGTTCCAAATGCTTTTTTTTTAATACCTTTTTATTCTCTCCTCTTTCTTAAGAAAGGAATCCAAATCAAAAAAGCAATATGCAAAGTCAAAAACTGGAGGCCCTCTGATCTCTCACTTTTGATAGGGCTCTTGTTTGCTGTCAAACCTGGAAGAGGTGTGAGAAAGCTTGCTGGCATTCAGCTGTTAGATGCTTCTTTATCTTTTCCGTGTGGTTATGATTCAATTCTAAACTAGTCTAGAGGCTACATTTTTAACCCGATTATGCCGCATCCAGATTCCACCGGGTTCGGGTCTTCCCCGAAACACATACTGAATCCCCTAGCTTAACCCAAATCTATTTAACATAAGCACAACCATGCGAACTGAAAATAGCACATAGTTATTCATAAACCGATTTTTAAAGGTTAACCAACTTAAAATGGTTTCGAGAATATTAGAACCCGACTAGACCAATAAATGTGGCCCCTATCCCTTCTAAATTCCCTTGGCTAAGAGCAAACGTATTATGTATATATAGAGACCATTGTGCCTACATACAACATAGAACCCACCACTTTGCAGTGCTTTTGCATGTTTTTCTGTAGAGAATAATCACTCACAGCTTGTAACTCTCCCAAAATGAAGCCAGAGACGCAACACAACCAACCTCCTCCAGGTCTCTCTCTCTCTCTCTCTCTCTCTCACACACACACACATTCTTTTATTAGAGACATATTAACTCAGTTTTCTGAAAAATTCTGTCCACAGGATACCCAACAGAGAATCCTCCAACTGAGAAGAAGAAGAAGTGCCGGCCACAAACGAAGAATAAAGGAGAAAAGGGCTTCATTGAGGGATGGCAAGTCTTCTTGCAGCTACCTACATAAAACTTCTAATGTGAAAAAAACATATGGAAATAACTTCTGAGAAAAGTGGTTTCTCTCTAGACTTTTAAACTGAACTGTGATTAAAAGCCCCAGTTCAAGTTTAAGATCTCAAGTTCACAATCACCAGCAATTTTTTCCAATGACATATAAAGGCTATCAGAAATAATGGATGTTCTAGTTTTTGAAAATACTGTTACCCTCTTAATCTCAATTTTCTCTTCTCTATCCTTCCTGAATACTAATCGGTTCTATATTGTTGTTGTTGCAGCCTCTTCGCTTTGTGTTGCTGCTGGCTCTGTGAAACTTGCTTCTAATAGTTTTTCATGGCACTAAATCTGCATCAGTTAGCTTCTATTTCCTTTATGTGTAATCCTATGTTCTGGGACTATGACTGGTTGTAGAGTTGATTTCATATGAGTGATCTACCTTAATCCAATAAAGATGTTTTTGGTTTTGGGGCTAAAAGAATGAAAGAATCCTTTGTCCTTCCTCCTTTTTGCCTTTTTTGAGGTGAGGAGAGCTAACGATTTGTGTCTCTTAAAGTTTCTAGACTAAACTAAACAGATGACCCCTTAATTACATCAATTAAGTCCCTAAACTAATTTTTATGTCAATTTAGCCTTTCAACTTTGCAATCTGACTGATCAGTTTCCAACCCCCACCCTGGGGCAACCCCCTTATATGTGCCTCCAGACTGGACACAAATGGGAATACTTGAAATCCTTCTTAAATTACCTTGGAAGGGGAGCTTGGCAGTAAGATCGGAATCAGAAATGTATTGATGTGTAAGACTAGGTTGAGGGGAGCAAGGACATGATTCTAAGACTTCAAAAAGAGCGTACAACCCTCCACTGGCCATATATTGCTAGATTTTACGAGGGATAGGGTGTAATCCTACAGTCTTTAAGTGTTCCTCCCAATTTTTTTATTTCTATTATGATTTTTTTATTGTGTTCTCACTAAAATCTTCACTATGTGACGTAAAACAGCACGACTTCCAAATAATTTCCAGTATTGACAATTGAAATGCCATAACAGATAGCCCAATTACAAAAAAGAAATTCTACTAAATTTCTAGCTGAGGCTCAGTTGAAATGCAGGCTCCAAGCTGCGGTCGAAGAAGCATGACAATGGTAGAGTCATACAGCTAGTGGACACACATCTTACAATGTAGATGGATAAATAAACCTGTTTGATTAAATTCACATCATCTACAGTTTTGAGACCTATGAAGCAATCCTAATCAACTGTTATTTAATAAATATAAATCCAACATTATTCGATCATCCTAATGCGTGAGGGTACAATATAAAGCTCCCTTAATGGTCAAATAGGCTTTATAAGGGATGTATACTGAGGATTCTCTAATCCTTATGCTTGTTAGTGCTCTTTTGCAATCATTATTCATGAATCCACAGATTGGACAAATTATTCCTAGGAACAAAATTGACAATGACTGATAGAACAATCACAAGTCTAATTGAGAGAGAGGATTCAATTGTATATTATAATCAAGGATCAGAATTTTGTTTCACTGCATTGTTTCAGTTATCTAAAAAACGGAAACGTTTAAAAACATAATAAAAAAATTAAAAAATTAAAAATTATTTTTTCAAAATATTAATCGAGATATACCAAAATATCTTAAAATACCTTGAAATATTCTGAAATAATTGTGCAAATGCATTAAAATAAAACAAATATTATGGAATACCTCGAAGTATTAAAATTTCGATTTCATCACTAATTCGTTTTGGTCTCTTTAGAAACGGAAACGTTTTGGATGTTAAGACCGTTTCGAAACGATATTTTGATCCTTGATTATAATATAAAAACTTGATTACTACTCAATACATAAAAAATTGAATGTAGAAGCTTAATAATACACCTCCTATTATAAAATCCTAATATTCCTTTTGATGTGATGTACAGTCACATTTTCAATGGCTAAGTATGTGTCTACAAAGCAGATTTGACAGGACAAGATCCTTATTCCTTCTAAACCAACTCAATAAAAAATAAATAAATAAAGAACTAACCAAGGAGTGACTGCCTATCAAATCGTATCAGATAATGGGAACAGCTTCTCCAGCATGTTATTGGAAAGGATCTGATTGGGGTCCAATTCCTTTCGTGCTTTATTATATGCATCCACTGGAAATCGCTTTCTTAGCCTGGCTTGCAAAGCTGAAAGTTCTTCCTTGTCCTTTGGAACCTGCAAATAATATATGAACCAATAAATCATATGCATGAAACTTCATTATGACTAGTTGAGCTAAATCCTGAAAGCAAATTAGAGCAGTTTCTACTGACAATCAACTTGCTGATATACCTTTAAAGCCAGAAAAAAAACAAAAATAAAATTAAAAAAGGCAGCTTAATGCACTGGGACGTCTAGGGAGGGTCAGACCAGTGCTCCATGCAGCAAAGATTAAATATCAGTTTGATGAGTTTCTTAACAGAGACAAATGTCCAAGTTGTTCTATAAATATAAAGGAAATTGTGCATTGAAATATAGTGAGAATTTAGATTTTAAAGTTTAGAAACAGTTTAATCACACAATATGAATCTTGGGGCTTGTTCATTGGGTCAGACTATGAATCACAGGGTTTGCTTACTACCTTTCAAAATGAATATTTGAAGCTAAAAACAATGAAAATATTACAATAGAAAGGTCACTCCTTCACAGAAAACATAGCATTTCCCGAAGTCATATTTTCTTTCAATTATTCCCCCCCCCCCCCCCGCCCCCCCAAAAAAAGCAGAAGCATCCAGCTGGGATTTTTTCCGCAAATTTTTGCAATCACGTATATTCAGAAACTTCTAGACATGTTTATTCATCATTTAGCATTCTTTATCAGTTTCTTTTACATGCTTCTTTAACTGAAAACTTGGTAAACAGATATTGAAGGACCAGCTTATCTGGAATTTGATCCATACCTCAACCTTAGCCCAATGTTCATAAGCAGAATACTGATCCCATAACTGTGTTTGAGTCACGTGCCTGTAATGGAAAAATTCTTCTGTTATTTGTCTTCGCTGACGAGCATCCATCGTAGGAAGATACATGATTATACCAACCTGGTAGAGGGTATTGAAAGCAGGTAAGAACAAAAAATGCAAAAAATTAACGTAAGAATATTAACAAGAAACAAGTATTTGGTGGAAACATTAACATAAGAACATTAAAAGAAGAAACGTATTTGATGGAAGATGCATTAGTTGAAACAGTGAAGTGTTACCAAATAAGGCAGCAGGGCACACCCATCTTGCAAAATATTGAACTGAACACTTGGTAACATAATTTTGTAGGATGTAGCAACGCAACAAAAAAAAAAAAACATATTTTTGCATAAATACCTCAGAAACACGTTTAAAAAGAAGGAATAATTGTTTTAGGCTTTTGGCTCACCACTTGTTACCTAAATTTCTCGTTAGTCCTAAGTACACGTAGAATTGCATGGGTTTGGGGTTCAGGTGGGGAGCGTGGGATTAACAGTGGAGATAATTACATGGGTCAAGGTAAAAACAGACTCTAATATTCACAAAATGGTGGATATATTGAACACTTCGCAATCAACAATCTAAAATGCAAAACTGATGGCTCCATCTAAAGGAACCAATTGCAAAGAACCAGCAGTCATGGAAATTACCCATGAGAATATATCATCCTCCCTTGAGCTTGAAGCCGGGCTCATTGAACTCCTGCTGCGTGCTGTCCATCTCTGTTCTATAGGTGCAGGAGCAGGTATCCCTTCCTTCTCTATGACCTGCGTCAACTCTTCAATATATTCTAGGTCCTTCATGCTTGGCTTCGATAGCGTTCCAGCAGGAAAACAGATTTCTGAGACCCACTGCTGGCCCCCACAATCAAAGCCCAGAATTTCATCACTCCAGCCTACTCGATATCCCTCTGACTTCCTCCAGAACTCAGCCTCAGCTTGATTTACCTTTATGACATGGTCTTTATTAAGAGGATCGAGGGCAAGTAGTTTATCTCTCAGCTCTGTAAATGAGAGCTCATTTATGTCTGGTTCATTGTCATTTGGAGATTTCACTGCAATCACTTGCCCTCTGCAAATAAATGATTGAAGCACTTCATCAACACAAATAAACAGTTATAACCAATTACAAAGAACGTTGCCAATACATCAGAACCAATTATGAGAACCAAAAGGAACAAAAATAATGGTTGAAGTTAAAGATCAGATGGGATGAAGAAGGAGAGAGAATAAAAATTTCTTACACCATGAGTTTTACCTTTCAAATAAAAATCTAATGAACCGTGGCCCATGTATAATCAAAAACAAGAGCAACAAAAGGAGAAAAATAAAAACTCAAGGGGCAAATCAAATGGATTCTTCTGTAAGCAACCAAAAACTAATAAAAAAGTGCAGTGGATGGGATAAAATAGGAAGTTGATATTTGATTCTGCAGGCCCTTACAGGAATACCAAAAAAAAATGGCAGGCTCTTAGACAGGCACAGGAGACACAGAATGATCACTTTCCTCGCCTTTTACCCCAATTCCCAACAAGACCCCCATATTAACCCCTAAATTATAAAGCATAGACAATAACAGAGAGCATATTTACCTGTATTTCTTTAGCGACTCCACATAGAGTTCACGGACATGCTGCATAGCTTCATCTTCACTATATTTTGGTGTGAATTTGGGTGCACCCTTCCATTTTGAAACAGGATTACATCTCACAAGCACAACAGTGTCAGTATATGGGATATATAGGTACTTCACGTGCTTGTTCTCAGATAGAAATTTCCTGAGAAAAGAAAACCAGGAAATCTGAGTCTCAAGAGATAAACTACATCCGCTACCATGAATTGTAAAATACAAACTATTCTATAACATGTTTGTGTGCACATGCAGCACATACACACGGATACATAAACTGATTAACACATGCAGATGGAGTAAGACAGATCTCAAAGACAAAATCCTCAGCAGCATCCACATAAAGAACTGAAATTTTAAGGGTGAAACCACTTTTTAAAATTTAAGAAAGTAGGCAATTTGTGGCGTCCAACTATAAAAGAAACATATGTGATTAAGGATTATGAAGTACAGATACAAACCTGAAATGACACGAAGTATGACACAGATATACAGCTAGGACACACTACAAAAAAATTGTATTTTATATACCAAAATGTATGGCATCTATGTGATACAATAAATTCTTAAGGTTCTGTTAATCAAATATCAAGTCTAATACTCTACTATTAATTTTTGGACTTAGGGATCACAGTGGTCAAGAATTATCCATTTTCATAGACGAAGGGATCACAGTGGTGTGACTCAGACGTGAATCATCCAATTTATGCCGACTTGAACCAAGTCATGACCAAGGTGAGACTCGTGATATTCTTGTACCATGTATCATCAATAGTAGCCAAGTAGAATCGGACTCAGCCAATTCTTCGAACCTTGACACCCCTTCCCCCCAATACACACACACACACACCAACAAAAAAAAAGGGTTGTCGAAAGTCTCCCCCCACCCCCACCCTCAGACCCAAAAAATACAAAAGCTCTAACTATTTGGCTCTACCACATTTAAGAGTAAAGAGAAGATGAAAGGATAAGACAAGAGGACTGCTAGAGAGATAAGATGAGAGGTTAAGAGAAAAGATGAAGTGCAAAGTTGCAGAGGGTGGGATAAGTTCATTAAATATAACAGTTATGTCGAAGGGTAGTGTAAGTGTGTAATGTAATATTACAATTTAAAAAAATTCAAAAACACATGAATTTGCAGATGGGAGTTTGGAGGTCATTGAGACCCACCTAAATTGCTAGTCTATAAGATCTGCTATATGCTCAAGTTGGAATTTTCTGAGGAAAATATTTAACCAAGAAACGGAAAAGATGTTTACCTGTGATTTTTTTTGATGTCTTTCATATTTGAAACAACTGTGTGTTCTACAAGTTCCTGCCTCTCAACACACTGGAGAGTGACTTCTGCAACCACTCCAAGGCCCCCAAGACCACAGCGAGCTAGATAAAACAGCTCTGGGTCTTTCTCTTGTGAAACCTCTATTGTACCCTTGGCAGGAGTAACCAATTTCATGCTGATAACCTGCTCATCAATGGGAGGCAACCTTGCACCAGTACCATGTGCACCAACCTAAAGGTGTAATAAAAAGTCAAAAAAAGGGAACCAAGATTTGACACTTTAAAAGACATTACTCAAAACTAGAGCACTGCACATGGCCCCAAACAAGCATGCCTGCATTTCAGGGGAACATCACCAAGGGGAAGTAAGAATGGCAAGCATCCCTTATGAATAGTTATGATCTATCATCTAACATTCAAATCCATGTCTGCATTTCAGGGGAACATCACCAAGTGGAAGTAAGAATGGCAAGCATCCCTTATGAATAGTTATGATCTAACATTCAAATCCAAATCAACACTCAAAAATTGACTTGAACAGTTTCATTCTGGAAAATAATAATTCACCAAATGACATTTCACAAGAATGAAACCAACCTTAAAATTGGTGATCCTAAAAAAGGAGCCAATATCTAATATTTTAAGATTCCAAACATACCACAAATAGGCATTTTAAAGAAAACAACTCCAAGGTAAGCAGGAATGACAAACAACTTCCATTGTGACAAAATATCAAAGTCAAACCAAGGAACTCAAACAAAAGTAGAACAGCGTCATGATTAAAGAAAATCGCATACCAAATGACTTTTCACATGAATTGAACCATGCTATCAATCCCCCTCCCCCCCCCCCCCCCCACACACACACAAAAAAAAAAAAAGAGAGGAAAAAGGAGGATCCATTCCACAAGCTAAGCTTGGAAATGTGACAGATTTGATATATTTCACTGACTCATGAAGGTGATAATGTGCAGGCTGAGCCTAGTCAACAAAGTTGACTAAGTGTCAATATTTATAGCTGTGCTTCATTTGTCGAGAGAACTGGAGAATTTTCACCACTATTATTAGTAATGCAGTAAAACATTCAAAGAAATTGATAATCCTGCAGGGTGTTGTTTTAGGAAAAAGATGAACTTCCAGCAGGGATTGGTGGCTAATAATTACACTAATCCCCACACCCTGAACAATCAAATTCAGATTCACATCATTACGCTTAATGGGCTGAGGTTTTACATATTTTTCAGGCTGATATTCCATTAGAGGACTCAAACCATAACCTTAAAATGTTAAGTTTGTCAACTCCTTCAAGACCTAATTTAAAATGGATCCAATACCTAAGAAGAGTAGATATATTGAACATCATTGTTCATATAAGAGACACCAGATGAAAAAATCAAGCTGACCATTCGTAAAAGAGAAATTGCAAGCCCCTTCCTAGCGTCCCAGTTGTCAAATTCCAACCGTGTCCTTTAGAAAAGATGAATGGGTAGAAAATTCTGAGAATCAACCCACCAGTTCCAATATGCCCCCAATCTATGTGATACTAATCATCTGATGGATCATTTTTACTGCACACAGCTAAACCTACTAACTGGAGGACTCTGAAGAGACATGATAGAAATGTGTTCCATAGCTCATAATCATAAGAGTCAAGTTTTACGCATATATAATAAATAGAATTTTTTTTTTAGCTAAAATTTTCACAGCCTTTACAAAGCAACTAAACCTTTGACACTCTGCGCCATTTAGAGCCATAATTTCTGTGAGATCATACCCACAACTTTCCTTCACTACTTCAACAACAAACCTGTATTTTATATTGCTATTTACTTAATGACAAATTTTCGGTAATGGTAAGAGATGAAGGCAACCTAGGCTACGTGTTCCCTAATATTTGACTCCACAGGTGTATCCTAACACGGCATACACAAGGAAACACCCAACTAGGAAGAACGCAGTGGCAATTTACAAGACAGCTACCACTTTAGAGAGAAGGGAAAAAAAAGAAAGAAAAAGGACATAGCCAAAGAAATCTAAATCAAAAAGCCATCCAAATACACAATACACAACTTCTATGACTTTTGTACACACTTTTTTTTTTACAGGTTTTTCGTACACACTTTAGAAACTAATAAAACTCACAAAGAAAATCATGGAGGTGAAATGTAGCAGGATTATGTTCAACACAACTAAAAAAACTAACCCATACTTTAGTCCTATTAAAGAGGGTACGGGAGGGGTAAACTGGGAAGAAACCTAACCTTTAGCGTTGCACAAAGTCCTGCCATCGAGTTTGAACTCCTAGTCTCAAGCTTATTGGGCAAAATTTTAACTGCTACACCAGTGCCCCTTTACTGGATTTGATAGAGCTAATTCAGCAAAATTAAGGACATTTCTCCATTATGTTCAAAGTCTAAACTTCCAAGAGCAGCCAAATATCCTAAAATAAAATACTAAAACTAGCCAATAATTCCCCCAAAGATGTGAAAATCACCATCTTCACATGCAAAGACAAACCAAGACCAATCACTTAGCATAACTTCAAAAAAATTTATTACTCAGTTTGCTGACTTTGGTCCCAATTTAACGAAGGAGTGGATTGGATACAGACCTACCATTTTTACAACCTTAACACCTCACATAAGTAATGACCCAATACTTAAAACGATGAATCATATCAACTAGCACAGAATTAAATTAACTACAATTAGCACACAAAGCAACCTGAACAATGCCACCAATCTGCTGCTCCCGAATCGATGCAAAATTCTGCAGTGTCAGCCCGTAATCCTTAATCCCATCAACAAGCTGCTGCACCCGAATCCCTGCCTGAACCCGAACCCTCTTCTTCTCCTTATCCACCTCCAAAACCTTAACAAAAACATCAATACACATCATCAATCAATTAAAAAAAATGGTAACAGCTATCATATCCTAGACAGCAATGGTCTTGGATCTAATGTGGGGACCTATGTGAGGATCTAATCCGTTGTTAGCAGTGGCTTCCAGCATTGAATACAGTCCACAATCAATTCAATTCGATAGTTACAACGTAATAGGTCCCCAAATTAGGTATAAGTAGCATTATTGTAGCCAAATGTTGAACACCACCTTATCCATCAATGCCAAATTCACCATCCCAGCCCTTGCCAACCCAATACCATTAGGAGATAGTCCCGACCCAACTGGCCGGATCTTGTGCTTCTTCTCATTCGCATCTTTCACGATGCTCTCCAATTCCTGTAAACTCTCGGGTTGGAGGAAATTCCGGGTCTGGACTTCATGGGTCCCACTCCAGTTTGACACAGTGTGAAGGTCCTCTGGAAGTGGGGCGTAACGGAAGAGCTGGGCTCTCTTGTGCTTGGCATTTTCGGGGAAAGGAAAGGAGTAGTAGGTGGCGACGCCGCAACCGAGGAGGAGGAGGGTGTAGCCCAGGTACTTGCGGAGCTCGGCATCGGATGAGGAGGGAGAAGAGGAGAGAGATGACGGGGAGGAGCAGAATGAGCGGGTGAGGTTGTATGTGTTTATGGGGCTTTGGGGAGTGGTGCTGGGGGTAGGGGGTGGAGTTTTGAGATGGGGAGGATGTGGGTGGGGGTGGGGGTGGTGGTTCTGGAGGAGGGTTTGGAGGGAGCGTCTGAGATTGAGAGCTCGGAACATTTGGTAGCAGTGCTTGATTCTTGATTCGTGTATCAGTGAGAGTACACTACACGGGGCTTATCGCAGACACACTCCACTCCACTCAGAGAGAGAGAGAGAGAGAGAGAGAGTTTCGTTTGGGTTGGGTTTGGGCCTTGTATCTCCACTTGCCACATGGACCAACTTAATGAGGCAACATGAAGGCAGCGGCGAATCTAAGCATGGAGGCAGTGGGGCCTCCCCTGAAATTTTAAAAAAAATTTTAAAATAATTTAAGAATTGTCATCTTCAACCGAAATAAAATTATTCTTAATTATTTTTTAATTTTTTTAATGGTTTTAAATTATTTTAAAATTTTAGTTAGTCATCACTAACTATATGTTTTGTGATTCAGTACGGAACAGATTTTTATAATTATTGTTCAGAATAAATTTTATATGAAAGACAAAATTTTTAATTTGAGATGGTTACTATAAATTTTATTTGAAATTAATTTTTTATTTAAATTTAAATTTTAAATTTTGCTTGTGATAGATTAAAATTGTCTATTTTGTGATGAAATGAATTTTTTCAAATTGTTTGGAATAATTTTTTTTCTTTATTTTGGATTCCTATATCTGGAATTACCTTTTATGGATTAAATTATTTTAATTAACCGGACTTTAGCAATTTTCTTTTGAAAGATTAAATTATTTGCATATCTAAGTTTGGTTTAATGGATTTATAATAAATTGATTTTTCTAAAAACAATTCTATTAAATTTGTCCTAACAAATTGTTTATTAAAAACCCATTGAGTAAAGGAAAATGTTATGTTTATCAAATTTTTTTATTAAATTTTTTATTTTAAATGATGTGACATAATCTTTGTCAATAAATATTAATGAAATTTACTTATTTAATAATAAAAATATGTACCACATCGTTTAGGATAGAAATTTAATAAAAAAATTTAATAGGCATAGTATTACCCATCATTAAATAGATTCAATAGTTTGAAAGGACAGAGTACGACAATTGTCAATTGATTCAAAGGTAGTCTGGTGTTCAGAGTTCGTGACAGAGTATGAGAATTGTCAAGTTTTTATCTTGTCAAAGAAAATTGGAAGTAGAGGATCAGTGTGGTCTCAACCAAATCGCCTGCAATGCCTACGTTAGTTCAGTAAACTTTGTTTAGAACAAAGTATTTATACGACGAGAGAGAGAATTTTTGTCATAGGCTTTTGTTACTTGGCTCGAGCATTCGGTTTTTATAGGGTGAGTTGAGTGTAATTTTGGCTCAAAAAATAATGATTCATAGTTGAGTGCATAGGAAGCTAACTCCATTCAAGAGCCTCCATCAGTGACGCGTGTCAGCCGCTCTAAAGTCCAGATGTGGAGTCAAGAATGCGATGTCAAGTGGTACACGAAGAGTTAGACTATACATATTCTAGGGGTAAATATTAAAGTGAAGTGAATATATGAATTACTATTTAAAAATTGAATCACAAAATATAATAGTACAGTGAGTGCTAAAATTATCTGAAAGTCAAATAATATAAATATTTTTTAATATTTTATAGTGAGGTTTCTTACCGGTGATTATATTTTAATTTAATCCTCTAAATAAATATCATAACTTAAATATAACTTCAAATAATTCACGTACAACACACGTGTGCAATAATTAGTACAATTAAAAAAAATAACAAATGGTAACTACAACAATCTTGAAAAATTGACAATATTATACATCATTGCAAACAGTCCTCAGTCTTATATCAATCTAATGGCGATGAAAAGCATGAGATTACTTGAATAAGTAAATGTCGCGAGAAAAATCTAATTAACCTTGTTTGCGACAACATTAAACACCAGCTATATAGTTTAGGACATTTTCAAAAAAATAAGTTTAGTACAACATTAAACATTAGCAATATAGTTCAGGACAACATTGAACACTAGCAATTGTTTGGCATGGATGTGTTGCCCATGACCGCGCGACAGCAGCATTAGAAATGTCAACTTAACTATATATTATTCACAAAAAGCAATTCAAATGTATACTTGAATCGTTTCGCTTGATTGAACACAATCTTACAAGTGGTGTATTTGATACATGCAACCTTACATTCAAAGTACAAATATAAGAGGGGGGGGGGGAATTAAGTACCACACTTTATATACATTATGATACATATCAATCATATATACAAAAAAGCAATCAAACACACTTTTGTTTCTTTAACGAAATTACCTTTTTACTTTTACAAATTATAAGCATCACCTAATGCTGAAATCAAGTTTCGGGTGCATATGCTGAGACCATTATTATGTACAAAGCTCGCGACCCCTGTAATTGCATAAACTCTCTAGATGCCGGTCAACTCTCCAGAGGTCCATTTCTCTTCATACCTCCCAAATGAGGAGGAGGCCATGGCAGGAATCCCAGTTAAGTGGAGAGGATCTGGTTCGATCCCATAATCTGTCAGTGGTCTGTGCTCCAAGACTTCATCATGATTTTTCACAAATTCAGGGACCTCAAGCTCTTCTTTCTTTATATCTTCCCAAAGGTACTGCAAGCGGCTAACATACTTGATTTTCCAATATAAGCTGCAATGAGAGAAAAAAATAGTGAGCCCAAACGCTGCATTAGCTGTTCAAGACACGAGAAATTATTTGGGAAAATCAAGTGCAAATTGCGAAGTTTCAGGATGTGTGAGGCACAAAGGGAGGGGGGTTGGGGATGAGAAGGTAGGCAAGAGGTGATATGCTAACTTAAAATGTTATGATATTATCGATTTATGCATGAGGGAATAATTAGTAACATATAGACTGTGGATTGCTGAAGAATAAGCAGAAGGATTGCTTATGGACTTGGTGTTTAAAATTAGCTTCAAGGAAAAGTAATATCAGAATGATTTCAAACAGCTTATCGAGTTATGTCCATACAGACTATTGAATAAGGATCATCTGAGAAATCAGTGAAACCTCACATGTATGAAACTGACCCAAAAAAGAAAAAAAACCCCACTTCAAAACTGAATCCCAAGCAAATTGTAAACCAGAGTAGTCTCATGATCACAAATCTCCGTTTTTTAGTGACCAATTCCAAGCAAACCATGAAGGAAATAATTCAGAAATATTTTAAAAACTGTTTCTAAACAGCAGATGTAGTAATTACAATGAGATGTGCTCAACCAAGATAACCAAAACAACTCACCCTCCACTTAGAAATAATCTTCCAAGCGTGGCAAATATGAGCCTTGAGCGAAGCCCAGGATGGATGAAGTATACAATCTGAAGTCTCTCCTTACAGCCAGGGGAAAGAGCTTCATATATCCACCTCAAGATGGTCATGCCAGGGGAGTTCTCTTCCTTTTGCACTGTACTATGCATGTACACAATGCAGAATGGACCTTCTGGCATCTCAGTAAATATTTTGTGAAACACATACCTTTTAAGCCGCTCCCCATTTATAACTGGAGCTGAAAATCATTGATTGAACAAGTGTATAATCATTAGCACTGACTTAGTCCAGAAAACAAGCCATTGTAAAAGACACCCAAATTTTAGCTAGGGTCAACAAAGAAATGTCGAACTAGAGAATATATATATAACCACACACCCCCATCCCTAGCACAAACCCAACCTGAAGAACAACCACATGCTTTCCCCTCCCTGATTCTAGAAGCTAGCGTTCTTATGTGGTTGTGATTCTGTGGACTGGAAATATGAAATGTACTCACTGTAAACACTATTGTGCCTATATATATATATATATTTTTTTTTGAAGTCCCAGACACATTTTTTGTAATTTGAACAGAAAGCCCTCTACTGTTCTTTCCGCAACTACAACCCTGGTCCTAGAAATAGAAACTCACATCACAAGAAGGGAAAAACGAGTGTGACTGCATAGAAAACCTTCACTAAATGGTGGTTTTCCTGCATCCAGGTGATGCTCTTCTCTCACATAGGTTCAGGGAAATGCAAAATCCTGATGTTGCATGAAAAATGCCAATAATGATAGGGGAGGGAGAAGTACCCAACAGCCTCATCAAATCGACAACCATGTTTATTAATTCCTAGTAGCATGATCCAACAAGTGGAAGGCAAAAGAGAAATGCTGCACGTTACAGTATTTGTGTAGAGGCCAGTGGAAATTAGGTTACCACTGCATCCAGAGCACAGAAAGCAGATCAGCTTTCCAAAACTCTGGGTTTCTCTTTGTTTTTGATAAATCAAGCAGCAAGAATGAAACTCTCCAATTGATCTCCAATCTATCTATCTAAGAATTATGCGTGTATTAAACACTAGGCCAGTATGGCTTGGGTTAGCTAAATCTTGAATGAAACCTACACTAACACCATCAAAGTAAACCCACTGCTACTCCAAAACCCATGCTAATTCCTAGATTATTCAATGACCTTTGTATATTTTACTTCGAAACCTGATATAGTCTTACCTCAGTTCCACCCCCATCATATTTTCCAAATTATTTGTCAATAATGCTCATGAAACGCAGTCACACAATTATAAATTTCAAAACTTAAAACTAAACTAAACTAAACAAAAACCATTTCGGCAACCAATCTCCACACTAGAGTGCTCAAAAAGCTATTGAAAGGGAAAAAATATTAAGTGTAACCGTTATACCATATCAGCAATGATACATAGTGTAACTGTCCCCTACTAAGTACACAAGTCAACAAGTGAGGCCTACAAAAACTCATAACCACCCAATCATGTAATATATAACCACCTCCATCATAGGAAGTGAACCCCATTTTATCCACTTTGTAGTTTTTTATTGGATAGTTATACCCCATCAACATTGCTGGTATGTATAACGGTTACCCCCAACTCGTTGAATAGACTCAGAATTTTCAAATATTCAAGCGACAGCACGCTACCCGTCCTCTTCTCTCTCTTCAGAATTGTCAACTCTAAAATTTTTCAACAAAATTAACTTAATACAGTCCTAATATGGAATTCTACTTACTTTTCCCTGTATCAAATATTGCCTCTTTTTTTCTTTCCCTGAATTCAACGGACAATAGACTCTTTTCATTAAATTGATAATTCAACTTCGGTTTGTCTTTTATAACAGTTTCTCCTATATTTATTGGATGTCTTGTTCAAAATTTAATAATTATGAAATCCTTGTTTGTTTCATAGGGACAAATTACAAGTCACAACTATGCGCTGTAAACTTTTGTGGATTTCATAAGAATAAAAGTTAATTTTGCTCTTTAGTTGTCAAATGATCTGAATAAAAATCCAGGCAACGCCTTTGTTAGTAGTCACAGACGCTCCACAAATCTTTAAAGTTTGATTAAATGACTCAAACCCTCATGAAAAATGCACTAAAAAGACCTCTAAATTCGAAATAAACCCTGCTAGTTGATATATTCCTCAATTTATCTATCATAAGGATCAAATTCTGACTAAGAACTGAAAAATCCCCTCAAAGTTCATCACTAGAACCAAGCAAACACACTTCAATAGATAGAAAAAGAGAGTAAATTATTACCAGGGAAGTACTTTCCGACGATGCGGAGGATGCGATTGCCAGTTTTGTCAGAGCCACGTTCGATGCGGAAAAATTGCAAGTCGTCGAGATCGGAGAAGTCTTCGTCGGAAAGGAGAGAGTTGGAGGAGTCATGCCAGTTCTCAGTTTCTCGGAATCTAGGGGACAAGAGTGCTCGAGCGTCTATGCCCAGATCTGACGCCAAGACCACCACCGATAAATCGTCCGACGATCCCATTCACTGTGTTTGTGAGCCTCTCTCACGCTCTCTTTCTTCTCCCTTTGACTTATAAAAACCGACGATTCAGGAAATGGGCGGTTTGTTCAATTATCCGATGATCTCACGTCGAACTTTGGAGATTACCAATTCTATCAATTCGTAAAGGTTCATTATTAATGGGGCCCAATTGAAATATCGACAACCTTATCCAAAGTCAATCAATAAAGTAAATGGTAGCTAGATTACGTGTATCGATCCCGCCTTGAGCGGCGGGATCATGTTAAAAAATATTATAAATATATTATATATGTTTATTAATTTATATTTAACGAATTCTGTCATCTTAAATTTGTGTCATAAATAAATTATGTATACCTAATATATAAACAAATTGTGTCATATATGTTCTCTGATTAACTTATCTATATTCAATTCGTTTATTAATCGTGTCCGATCGGATCTATTCGTTTATTAAAAAAGTGACTTATAAAAGATCAAAATCGTAATTAATCGACTATCATATTTTGACACTTTACATAGAATAAATTTTTAATGGGTAAATTATATTCACTCCCCCTAATATTTGATTTTATTACACAAACACCCCCTCATGTTTCAAAAATTACACAAATTGCCCTGGACATTTAAAATTTATAGCAATCACACCCTCTCCAACTAACAGACGTTAGAATGGTTAATGATTGAAGCTAATGTCATCAATAATAATTTGTAGAATACCAAAAATATTCTTCAAAATTAAGTTTAAAAATTCAAATATTTTTTCTTCTTATCCCATAATTTGTTTCATCTCTTATTTATCATTTCTCTATTTTATATTTCATAATCTATCAAATTAATAAGTTAAATACTATAATTTTTTATTTATTATACAACATATTAATGTAATCCATTTATCAATCAAATTTGCCCTAACTCCACCATTACCACCATCACAGTTAACTACCCCCATCGTCACCTCCACACCACGAAAACCACCTTCACCCATTGTTATCTCCACACTAGGGAAACCACCACCTCTTTCTCTCTTCACACACGTACAACATCACCATTGCCAGTGACAGAGTAACCCTACTACCTCCATTTCCATTTTCATCCCCACAACCACACAACACCACCACTGCTATAGTCTAGCAAAACCCTATCACCTCCATCCTCATTTTTCATCTCCACAATCACCTCCTTAACCACACCACACATATAACCCAATAAATCACCCTTGTCAAAAGACATTGGGATTAGGGGTGTCAATCGTGTCGTGTTATGTTCTTTTCGTGTCGTATCACTTTCGATACGTGTCAATATTCGTGTTAATAAAAAATTATTTAATTTGCCAACAACTAATATAATACTATTTAAAAAATTATAAAAAAATTATAAAATTCTTATTTTTTATCTAAAATACTCATTAAATAATTATTTTCTATCTACAGTATCCATTAATCATGTTATTTGTGTCGAGCTTTAATTTGACATATTTATTTCTCGTGTCAATGAATTGTGTTATTTTTGGATTCGGGTTCGAGTGAAAAATTGACACCCCTAATTGGGATCCTTAGTGCATAGGACGACGAAGATTAGGGTTGAGATTAGGAATAGGACTTGGGATTGGGGTTTGAGTTTGAGTTTGTGTTAAAAAGAGGGGCAAAATAGTATTTTTATTAAGATAATTAACTCGGTCTAACCATTGGGGTCTCAGTATAGTTGTTGAAATGTAAGGGGGTGTCCGTGTAATAAAACTAAATGTCAATTGGTGTGAGTGTAACTTATCCATTTTTAATTTACATCTCATATTAGAGGATGGCAATGTAACTCAAAATTAAATATTTATTTTTTTTGTTGTATTTTTATATTATACTATTTTTATACAGAATAACTTGCATAATTTTAATTTTATGCATTTTACATGAAAATTTTATACTCAATTTCTTTAAAATAGAGTATATTTTTACCTTTTTAGTTAATAGAGAGTGCGATAAAAAAAATAATCTTTTAAATATAAATTAAAAATATGAAAATATTTTAGATTGTAAGTATTATTTGCCTTTCACCGTGGTGGGTGTTGTGGGCCAAACAATCCCAAAATTGTAAGGGTGGCTTATCAAACTTGGATGAAATGTGGTAAAAATTAAAAGTGAGAGAGAGTTAGATACTTTTTTTTTTTTTTTTTTTTTGAGTTCAATAGTCAAGGTTGTTCGAAGTAGCTTACATGAACTTTGGCTAATTCTCTTCCGGTCTGATCAAAGACAGGTCATCTACACAAAGATTAGATACGCTTGAGTGAGCAATGAGCTTAAAAGCTACTTCGTGTTTGTAAGCTTGGTTGTAGTAAAATCAAAATAAAAAAAAGTGAAGGCAAAATTTCAACTACACCCTTTCAAATTTATCATATTTTCAAGGACATCTCTTCTATTTTTTGAATCTTCACTAAAAACACCTATCAGATTAAAGATATTAATTAGAATACAATTTTACTAAATTACTCTTGATATATTTGAGAAAAAATTTCATCCACACACCCCCTAGATAGACATAACTTCAATAAGACCCCTCTATTTTTAAAATTATTTTACGTATTAAAATTTAGATCGATTAAAATTTGTTTCAAGTTAATAAAAAAAAATTATGTATTAAAATTTGAATCTATTAAAAATTATATTTTTTTAAGTATTAAAATTTGAGCAGATTAAAAAATTAGCTTGAATCAAATTTTAATCAACTAGCAATGAATTTTAATCAGTCCAAATTTTGATACATAAAAAAATATAAATTTTAATACATAAAAAATAAATTTTAATCAACTTGAATCGAATTTTAATTGACACAAATTTTAATAAGTAAAAAAATATAAATTTTAATCGACTCGAAGTGAATTTGAATCGGCACTAACAGATCAAGTAGAACATAAATCAACTCGAATTTTAATACGTAAAAAAATTAAAATTTAATCATCTTGAATCAAATTTTAATCAACTCAAATTTTAATTTGTAGAAAAGTAAATTTTAATCAACTTGAATTATAATATGTAAAAAAATAAATATTAATCAACTAGAATTTTAATCAATTTTTTGTAGAAAAATTATTTGGGATTTATAAAGGAGCATTTTTAGTATTTTAGATAAATGTTTTTGCTAAAAATGATGTTTTAATGGCAAGGGGTGTCAGTGATGATTAAATATAAACTAGAAGGATGTCAATAATATTTTTGATAATAAAAGAGATGTCCTTAAATATACAGTAAACTAGAAATGATTTCACTTAAATTTCCCCAAAAGTGAATTATTTTGTAATTTTAACTAATTTTCATGGGTTGGAGTTGAGTGGGACTGGTGTCAGGGACAGGCAGAGTGGAGGACCAAAGCAATCGAAACGGAGAAAACAATACTTCAAATTTTTATTCAAATCTTCAATGAGGTTGAATAATTTTACAATCAAATATTAATAGGAAACTCATAGTAATATAAAATTACTGTTAAAAACAATTATAACAATCAAACTTATGAAAATACCCCCAACAACGAAATAAACCAAAGAAGTGCATACAAACTCGAAGCTTTCCGGGATGGGGTCATGGGCATTTTGCAGATACCATAGTTGAAATTTATACCAATTAGCACCCCGATTAGCGATGCTTTTGACGGTCCTAATCTGTCATGTAGTCTCCTGTCATGTAAAGAATGTCTGGAAGACAGCTAGGATAGTCTGCGTGACACTCAATAAAATGGCAAAAATTGCAAGAACAAAAGTAATGACTGTCCATGGACTGCTGAAATGAGCATGTCTCCATTCAGCCATCCAAACTTTCGTTTTGTTCTTATAATGGTTTTCAATGCACTCTTTAACATGGGCATAACCATGAGGGTTGGGCACCAGATCTGTGGCAATCTCATTGAACAGATCAGCCACCTGTTCGTCGCTGCCGAGGAAGTTGAGGAGTATCCCCTTGGACCTTAGCTCCTCCACATCTTTATCATGATCAATGATTGAGTCCATGAAACAAACATAAGAGGTGACCCCAAAGTCGTCAGGAGTGTCAGGACAAGCTTCGTAGGCAACCAAGTTGAGAAGCTTCGACTTGGTGGAGTCATCGATGGTGATTGGAGGAAGCCTGAGGTGTGAAGAGAAGAAGCCAGAAGATTCGAACTTGATGTCTGAAAAACGTTGGCTCTCGCTTCGCTTGAAATGGATCCCTACAGTCCTAAGCTCCTTGGCCGAGCGGTAGGAGAGCCACTCACCCCTTAGGTAACACCCTCCTTCATAAAAAGCACTAACATCAATGAGTTGTTCTCGAACTATCTCAAGAAGATGTGTTGGTAAATGGTCACGATCTGATCTCTCCTCGAGCCCTAGAAGGCCTTCTTGTTGTGCCCTCGAGCGGTTTATGAACATAGTGATAATTTTTTCGCCTTCATTCCTTTCAAACCTCCAATTCATCAACACTTTGAGGACTTGAAAGGGTAATTGATTTTCCAGTAAGAAAAAATCACGACGCACAAAAGCCATATCATGGCTTTTCATCTTCAAATCTTTATGGTTACCATGGACCAAACAGTAGATGAATTGGAGAAGAAAGCAACCATCGAGGAACATCATACGAGCAAATGCCTTATCATCAAAGGATTGTGTTGAGTCCTCGGTGTAACATTTCCTCGCACTCTCCACCACCTCTTCCAACCTTTTGTGTAGCTCTTGCAATGATACCTTACATTTTTTGGCATATTGCTTTGCCAGATAATCTTTATGCTTCTCCATAGGTTCGAGCTCGGACTTGCCATGGTGGAAGGGACCGATTGAAACGACGAGGGGATCATAGCACTTCTTGTTGGATTCGATCCCACGAAGCATTGGTGGAACCTTCTGTATCTTGGGATTCGCCAATGCGCTGTCCCCGGATACACCCCCTTCGTTGGCTAAGGATCTTAGCCATTCATTGTCACCAGTTGGATCGATTTGAATGCTTAACTCCTCCATAACAGGGGCATGTATGTTTCTGCCACTGCTTCCTTGACCCTCCTCTCTTCGAACCATTGACCTCCTTCTAGACACCTCCTCCATGACAATCTCTTCTGGTGCTGCCATTTTGGGGGGTTTAGACAAGGTGAATATGCTACTATGGAATGTTTGAGGTCATTCTTGCTATAAGTACCGTGTATAATTAGTTTTTTGGTTTTTGCTCTTTTACTAGTGAGAATTTTCTTGCTCATCAAGCTTGGAAAAGCTCTCCTAAAGAAATAGTATTGTATTCTCTCTTCTTTAGTTTTAGAATAAAGTTGAAAAAAGAAAAAGTTAAAGAGGTAAAGAAAAAAGGAGAAAATATACAATGCAATTGATAACATGGTATCACCAACTAATAATAAAACCTCAAATAGATAAAGTAAACTCCACTTAGGTAGTTATTGATTTACATAAAAGAATAATTGGTAGTTATCTGTTTATGAATATTTTTTCAAAAAGAAGGGAGATTTGAAAGAAGTGAATGATCTTTCAATCTTGAATGAATCAGATACAATCAACCATTTTCATAACCTGGTAAACAATCAAACTGCAACTGCCCTCATTGCAGCGAGCTCCATGTTGTTGGTAACCTTATGGTCCCATAAAATGCAAGACTAAATATTCATGATATCCTAATGCTCCGTTTAGTACGATGAAAAAGTTGGAAGATGGAAAGTTGGAATGATAGAAAGTTAGAAGGATAAATAAAACATCATGTTTGGTAAGGAATGAAAGTAGGAAATATGAAAAAATGAATGGATTAACTTTTATTTTAACTCACCAAAATCAATCCCTCCAAAATCGGATGAAAAATTAATTATTTGTGTTAAGATGTATCTTATTTGTCTATATATCTTTTTATATATACATATATTATATATACATTAATTTCATATAAAAATACAATGGTAAAATATTTATTTTAAATTATATATAAATTTTAAAAAAAATGAAAATAAAAATTTTAAATTAAAAAAAATATTCTTTCCATCTTAATAGGTGAAAATTTTCGACTCAACACGATGACACGACTCGAACTCGATACGAAAATAACCAGGTCAATTTGAAATTTGACACGACACAATTAGTTAAATGAGTTAAGTTAGGTTTGACTAATATTTGACACAAACTCGTAATGACTCAACACGAATCTAACACGACACGACTCAATTGTCACCCCTAATCTTAGCCAGCATAAATAAAAAAATAGTCTTTTTTATTTTCCATTCATCCATCCAAACACAAATGAAGGAAAATGTATTATTCATACTTTTCATCCTTGAAGGATAGAAAGTGTATCCCTCCTACTTTCCATCCTCCATACCAAATGGAGCATAAGAGTAAAAATTTTCGACTCAACACGATAACATGACTTGAACTTGATACGAAAAACTCGTAACTCGACATGACATAATTAGTTAAATGAATTAAATTAGGTTTAACTAACATTCGATACAAACTCGTAATGACTCAACACGAATCTGATACGACATGACTCGATTGTCACCCCTAATCTTAACCATCACAAAAAAAAAATAGTCATTTTTATTTTTCATCCATCCAACCAAACACAAACGAATGAAAGTGTATCCTTCCTACTTTCCATCCTCGAAGGATAAAAAGTGTATTCTCCTACTCTCCATCCTTCCTACTTTCCATCCTCCCTACTAAACAGAGCATAACTGTTTTCTTTGTTTCACCAGGTTTTCTACCCTATACAACTTTTACCCAAAAATTTGGGGTACACTTATATTTCCATCGCTTCCACTAGAACCAAAGTCATATGGGTTTTTTTTTCTTCTTCATTTCCTTGCTTAAGCCCAGGACGAACCCTATGTTATTTTATCTTGTTCACCTGATTCTTTCTTCCCTTATGCTATCTTTCTCAAGAGCTCTTTGCCCGACTAGGATTTCAAATTCTCCTGCTGCCGAGAAAGTAAAAAAACCTCAATCAAACACTCAATCAAAATCAATTCAAAAAAAGGAAAAAGAAAACACTTAATAAAAAAGAACATATTGATGCAAAAATCGAAGTGAAACCGTGGAGGGAGGGAGAGAGAGAGAGAGAGGAATCAGTTGTGGAATACTGCCCACATTAAGCATGATGTGTAAAGTCAAAAAGAATACCTTCCTTGTACTTGCTGCATTTAGTTAATGATATAACCACCCCCCCCCCCCCCCCCCTCCAAAAAAAAATGACAAGGTATACTTCCACCACAAGTTTGATTTTTAGACATTTTGTAGATCTCTTTCCTGTCTTGGGAAGAGAAGAATAATACTTTTCCCTTTGAGCTGCTGAAAGGAATAATAGAACCCTCTAATGCCAAGTCAAGCAAACAAGAAGACAAAACAGAGACTGAAATTTACAAATCGGATCCAAGTAGTAGTATGTTTTCCTTTCACAATCATTCATTCCTCTGTATTCAGTTGAGTGTCTCACCATCAATAAGGATGGATTCAATTCAAATTATGCCCTTGCATCTCATCACTCTAGCTCGATAATAAAAAAGTAGAAAAACAGTCATAAAGGAACCATGAATCTAAGTGAGAGTTGTTGTATTTAAGTAAGTATTTTACAATTCTTAAGAGTGGTTCAGTGATTAAGTCTGACATTTGATAACTTATAGATTTCAAATTTAATTCTTTTCTACACTTTTTAAGAGCTAGCTACCCTTATTCCTAAGGGACTATTTGGTAAGGGGTATAGGAGGTTTGGTAAGATGAGTTTGGAAAAAATAGTCTAAAGTTTCTCCAAATCTCATGTTTGTTTGGAAAATTCGTAGCTCGTAGTTGGCCCGAAGATTTGCAAATCCAGCTCATAGTTGACCCGAAGATTAAACTCATGATCATGAGTTTCGTCAAACCTAAGGAGAGGATGAGTTTGGAAAGATGGGTAAGGGGTTAAGGATCTAAAAGACTATTGTACTCCTTAACATAGGTATGAATTTGATTGATCAAGGATAAAATAGTCATTTATAAGACAAATAGTTGTTAATAATTATGATATATTCATGGGTCTTATATGTGTGTGTGTTGCATACCAAACATTAGTATGAACCGAATTGAATGTTGAATTTCATTGTTACGAAGAGGATTTTGAGTTTAGAAAAATCAATTTAAACTCTTCAAAATTCATCTAAACAAGTCCCAGGTGACATGCTTTAACGGACCTCAAGCCAGGGTGACCAACAATTGAACTCGATGGAGCCTACAAGAAGTTATCTCGAGAGAGAGGATACATATTTAAAGTATTTCTTTTTAAATTTGAGTCCCATGAAGCCTAAAATCTTGCAAGAATCATGCGATACTATGATCTGTGTTGCGTCTGCTATGGTGATCAAGGCCGGCCCTAGGTTTAGCCTACTAAGCTGGCTGTCTAGAGCCTCCATTTTTAGAGTGCCCCCAAAATATATGACACATAAGTATATTAGGTCCATTTGTTTTTTTTTTTTTTTGAGTTTTAAATAAGAACCAAAATTTTAGAGCCCAAAGTTACTCTCAATTTGGTTAAATCCAATAAAATCCTTAAAATAGAAATCCTAGTATAAATATTAAACCTAATTGTGTCCCAAAAAAATCTTCTGCTCACCCTTCTCTCTCTCTCTCTCTCAACGATTTTCTTGCTCAACGTCTCTCTCGACGAGAATCTCAGAATATAAATATCAAAAAGATCAAAGGAGGATATTATAAGAAAATAGAATTTGGGGGTTTTGCTCTTGCTAAGTTGTGTTGTTCTTAAGCTTAATAGTTTATTTTGTTTCAATTCTAGCAATTATAATGTTATGTTGTTTTATTTGTAAATTAGTTTTTAATCATTAATATGTCTACTTGAAGATATGATTCTTGGTTATGAAAATCAGAAAAAAAAAAAAAAAAAATTTGGATGAAAACTGGGGTGGAAGTTTTCAGGTTTCCATGTTCTTGATTCTTCAAATTTCTCTTTCCATGAATGGATGAAAACTGGGGTGAAAAAGTTGGATCAAAAGATGAGTTGTTTGATGCTGGTAATGTTGTGGGTCATTTGGTTTAAGCTAGACTTGAGGAGAACACCAAATCCCCTGCCCAAGTTGTGGATTTTGCAGTGGCATTTTATGATCAATTCTTAGGAGCTCAGGGACCCTTGTATCAGAATATTTCTGTTGGCATTGATTCAGCAACTTGGTGTGCCCCGAATATTTGGCTTCTTCAAAATTAACTTTGATGGTGCTGTTTTTCAGTCAATTGGTAAGTGTGGTACTGGTGGAATAATCAGGGGATTGCAAAGGTGAAGTGCTGGCTGCTTTCTGTCAAAAAATTGGTTGTGTTATGAAGGCTGTGCATATTGAAGCCTTGGCTGCCACTCATGCTCTTCAAGTTGTTGTTGACCTTGGTTTGAAAAAAATATATATGATAAAGTAGATAGATTAATTGCCTTGAACTTTTCGCGGTTCAAATCGTTTTGATCTGGTGGTCTTAATTGGATTTTTATTTCTTTTACAACTCTAAAACTCTCATCTCTCATATACCTCTTTCTCTCTCACATATTGTTACCTTTTTTTTTTGTCCTCTGTGTTATTTTTGTTATTATTTATTTCATAAAACAGATGGAACTACATGTTATACAATTATTTATTCCATGAAACTAATTCAAAGTTTTTATATACCTGATTGTATGTATTTTACCACTTGCTTTTTAATTTGTAAATAACATTTAATGTAAATCAACACTAAATGAACCTTAGATTGTAAATTTATATATAATTTTATCAAAAAATGAAACTTAATTTTGTCTAATTTATATTCAACTTTGTCGAATTAATATCAAATTAATTTTTATTGTTATCAAATTAATATTAAAATTTATTTAATTAATTTTTTAGAGTACTAAATTATATCAATTTTTTGGGTAGCAAATCAAATTTTATTTGATTTTATTAAAATTTTAAATCTTTTTTGGTATTGAATTTGGAGAAAGGCAATTGTAAAAATAATAAAATTTTTTGAGATGAAAATATCAATTTTCCATTAGCAACATTGATATAAGGGAGACAGAAGGGGTCTCTGTACATTGTATTTTAAACATCAAAGGTCTCCGTGTTATTTAT